GCCCGCTGCTGGCGCCCCACGGGGAGCCAGAGACAGAGCAGAATACACGTCCTCAGCCGGACGTGGCGGCAGCGCCGGGCGGGGCCGGAAGCCACCCAGCACCCGCGGCCACCTGTCGGGGTGCTGCCCACGGCGCCCTCGGACACGGGGCTTCACGTCTACGCAACAGCGAGGCAGCGTCGGCCGTTTAGAAATCCTTGCTAACAAGGCTTATCTGATCCTTTGGGCTTTGCTTTGCTGGAGATCAACACTGTCTTTATGATGACAAAGCAAAAATCTTGAACGACAGAGAAGAATTCAAACTTAACATTGTTTGCGGGTAGTTTTTATCATGCACTAACAGGTGGCGCGGGCCATTTTTGCAGTTGAATAGATTGATTACCGTTATACCTGGAAGTACATACATAATTCACCATTGTATGTGTTAGAGACCCAAATTTTGTCCTTTGGAATTCATATATCTGCATGTTAGCAGACCTTTAGAGCAATAAAAAAGTATAAAAATAAACGGATTTATACATTACCCGCATTCTACCACTAGTCTATAAAAAACGTATTAATACGTGTCCCACGCTCTATAACCAGTCAACGTAAAACGTATAAATACGTTTCCTGCACACAATGTGCTAAAGGCCAGACCCAGGGCAGTCGAGGCTTAAAACCGAAAGCTGTGAGTCGGTTACAAAAGCATCGTCCCGCAGTCCAGCGTCCCCCGGATCCAAGATTCCGCTCTCCGCGGTTTCAGTGGCCTGGGGTGCACCATGGTCCAAAAATATTCCATGGAAAATTTCAGAAAATAAGGAATGCCTCAGTTTTAAGTGGCGTGCCATTCCGAGCGGCAGGCTGGAGCCCTCCAGTGCCCAGCTCGGCCCCACAGGGACCTGGCTCGACCCCTCGGCCAGCATCTCAAGCACAAACACACGGAATCACGTTCGAAGCCTTGAAGGACCACGCGATGAGAACTGCAAGCACACCACCCATGCCAGAAAGGGTGAGCTCGCCCGGCTGCTGTGGCTCCGTAGATAGAGCGTCGGCCTGCCAACTGAAGGGTCCCGGGTTCAATTCTGGTCAAGGGCACATGCCCGGGTCGTGGGCTTGCTCCCCAGTGCGGGACGTGCAGGAGGCAGCTGGATTCTCTCTCATCAGTGATGTTTCTCTCTCTCCCTCTCCCTTACTCTCTGAAATCGATAAAGATATATATTTTTTTAAATGTACACGTGACCCTTGGAGCTCACAGGAGCCTGGACCCCAGGAGACCCCCATCACCTGCCGCCCGCGCCCACCTGGTTCTTCCTGTAGTCCTGCTGCGAGTGCCGGAGGACCCGGTAGCAGAGCCGGCAGATGTGCCGGAACGGGGCATGCCGCTGGTCGCCCAGCTCCTCCAGCCGCAGCATCGGGCCGTCCCCGCAGTCCGTGAACGGGGCCTGCAGCAACTTGAAGATCTGTGTGCGAGAAGAAAGCAAACACCGCCATCGTCCCGTGTCAGCCAGCCGTCCGTCCGGAACCAAGGTAACTCCGCATGGCTGGACGACACGGAAGACTCCACACACACAGCCACGGCCTGACACTGCGTCCCTCCACCTGGACCTGCGGACCTCCAGCCCTGGGAAGTGCGGCATTAGGGCGGTGGTCACCAGGACAGACTGGGACCTGGGGAATCTAGGCTGAAGTCACACCCCGTACGCCTTCCCAGCGGCACCCATCAAGGTAACCTGGCTTTCTCATCAGTGAAACAGAAGAACACACCACCCTGGCCAGTGTAGTCCAGTGGTTAGAGCACCAGCCTGCACACGGCAGTGTTGCTCTCAGGGCTCACGGTCAAGGGCATGTACCTGGGTTACAGGTCGATCCCCAGCCCTGCACAAGGCAACAGATTGGATGCCTCTGTCTCTCTCACGTCAGTGTTGATCGAGCTGTGGAGCCACCTCTGTCCCTCCCCGGTCAGCGATCCCACTGACTCCTCGCAGCGCCAGCCCCACGGCCACGGCTCACCCACCTGCTTGAGGATGTTCTGCTCCCGCATCAGCTTCTGCCGCTCGCGGTTGGGCTTGGAGAAGACCACCTCCAGCACGTCCTGCCCGGAGTTGGTGCCCCCGGTGACGAAGTACACCAAGTCTTCGAGCAGCTTGGTCACCGACCTGGGGGGCAGAGCGGCTGTCAGACAGGGGAGGGGCTCGATGGTCAGCAATCCGGTGGGCACTGCCCGTGAGGTCCAGGCCTGAGGTCCAGGCCCACCCGCCGTGTCCTCGCCCAGTCACTGACCAGAGTGACACGGAGGTGACACGTGCGTGTCCACAGAAGGATTGTCACCTTCACAAACTGGGAGCCATCAGACTACCTCAGGGGGACCTCAGGCCCTGACGTTTCCCGAGACGGAGCTGGAGACAAAGCGATAGGATCTTTTCAACTTCAGAGACTTTCAAAAAAGAGAACGCACCCGCCGGCCCGGCTCAGGGGTTGGGCATTGACCTACGAACCAGGAGGTCACGGTTCGATTCCCGGTCAGGGCACATGCCCGGGTTTCGGGCTCGATCCCCAGTGGGGGGCATGCAGGAGGCAGCCGATCCATGATTCTCTCTCATCACTGGTGTTTCTATCCTTCTCTCCCTCTCCCTTCCTCTCTGACATCAGTAAAAATATACTTTAAAAAGAGAGAATGAATTCAAAGGAGACAATGTCTTGAAAACCACAGGCTGGTTCACCCACCAGGCTGAGGCCTGCTGCTCTCCCCCGTGGCGTTCACGCGCTCCCCCCCAAGGGACCTAAGAGGCCCCGGGAGGCCGGGGAGGGTGTGTCTGCCGTGGGAGGGCGTGTCTGCCCATGGGAGGGTGTGTCTGCCGTGGGAGGCCGTGTCTGCCGTGGGAAGCCTCACCTCCTCTCGTTCTGCGTGATGGTGCCCTTCTCCAGCTTCCCCGCGATGGAGCCCAGCACCTTGCTGGCATCGTTGGCGAAGTCCAGGTCCCGGACCTCCGCAGGGGAGACCGGCACGATGGCGAAGGCCTCCTTGTCCTCCTTCACGGGCGAGGTGCCGATCTGCAACACAGGGCGGTCTCTGCGGCAGCCTCGGGGACGAGACCCCCTGAGGGGCGATATCACTCGCCGAGTTTACGGGCCACCCGGCCACCCACAGAGCGGGGGCTGCCCTGCAGGCACAACCGGCTAGACAGGCAGCATCCCAGGCCGCTACATTGCTACCCCTGGAGCCTCGTGCTGAGGGGACGGGGGCGGGAAGGAGGCCCCCTCGCCGACAGCTTCATGTGCTGCAGGGAGCACGGGAGACCCAGATCCAACGTGGCTTATAAGTTCACGGGAAAAGCAAATGGGCAAGACTCTCACTCCTGGCTCCAAGTCACATGTCACAGGGCTGGGCCCGGCACCCCGCTCCCAACTCTCCTACACCCCGAAATGTTCATAAAAGTAGAGAAAAAATGCCAAGAACATCCCCCCCAAAATGGTGCACGTGGCATTCCAATTTTAACAAGAAAACCCCTGTGTCTGCATTTCTTCTCTGTGGTTCTGGAGGAGGCACGGGGGGAAAGGGGGGCTTCAGGGAGAGACAGTGAAGAGGATGGGAGATCTTTCTAGAAATAAACCTGCACATTTAAGTTCGCAGGAACAAAGACATAATCAAGACAGGGGAAAGTCAGCCGGGACCTGATGTGCCTCAAGGCACAAGCAATTCCCCCAGAGCACCATCCAGACACACATGAAACCAGACAAATGCTCGCCCTCAGGGCAGGACCCAGGGAGGAAAGGAAAGGTGTGGTTATTTCAGAAGCCGGGGGCTCGCGCTAGCCGGTCCCTCAGCGAGAGCGCCGTCATCACACTCCAGGCTGCCCATGACCATGCTCTCGTGTGCCCGTGTCCACGCTCTAGGCCAGTGATGGCGAACCTATGACACGCTGTCAGAGGTGACATGCGAACTCATTTTTTTGGTTGATTTTTCTTTGTTAAATGGCATTTCAATATATAAAATAAATATCAAAAATATAAGTCTTTGCTTTACTATGGTTGCAAATATCAAAAAATTTCTATATGTGACGCGGCACCAGAGTTAAGTTAGGGTTTTTCAAAATGCTGACACGCCGAGCTCAAAAGGTTCGTCATCACACTCCAGGCTGCCCATGACCACACTCTCCTGTGTCCGTGACCACACTC